GATGTCCGGGAGTGGGACTCGTTACTTTCAAATGCAACAGGAGCAGTTGCCGACGATGATGTCGTCTTTGTTATCGTTTCAAGGACCTACTCCCGAGTCCACTCGAATTTTTGATGAGTTGCCCAAGGCAACCATTGTTTCCGTCTCCAGGCCAGACGCTGGTGATATCAGCCCCGTCCTTCTATCTTATACCATTGAATTTCAATACAAACAGGTATATCTCCTCCCTCGTTTCTCTATCTGCTCTCTGGTTTATCACTAATCACTCATATGTTTCCTTAAAAGGATTTGAAGTATACTTGCATAATATAGTAGCCTTTCATCTTTTCTGGACTCATATATCTTTTCAGCTAATGAGTTTGATTCTGATTATTCAATTGAATAACGGCTTTGATGCTGAGAAGGATAAAGGAGGGATAATGGAAGTAACATGGAGTATTGAATCATAAAGTATTTGTGACTTTTGGTTCGTCTCATTATTTCTGAAACTGTCACCAGTTAGTGAATAAGAAAACGTTTGCTTTTATTTTGAAGTTATCATCATTTGGATTTTATTACTCGTGTAGGTTATATGTGTTTCAAGTTAAATTTTATTTCCTACAGAAGAAGCGGAGTATGGGGGGGACTAGGCCTCCTGCTTTTGTCCTTTTTTCTTTTTTTTTTTTTTTTTACCATTGTTACCTGATGTTAGTATACTAATTTTCTGTTTCCACTCTCTAGTTTAAGTGGCTGCTAGTAAAGAAAGCCTCCCAAGTCTTCTATTTGCACTTTGCATTGAAGAAACGTGCATTTATTGAAGAAATCCATGAAAAGCAGGAGCAGGTATGGTTGGTTAACGTTGTTTGGGCTGCGTCGATGTTTTCTTTTCCCTGTTATAGGCATGTAAATAAGCTCTGTAATTTCAATTTTTACTCTTAATGGCCGTACTGATGATTGGGCACTTGGGACTTTATGGTCTGGTTTTTCTGGGAACATTATATTCAAGGTTAAAGAATGGCTTCAAAATCTAGGAGTGGGAGATCATACACCAGTTGTGCAAGATGATGATGATGCTGATGATGAGACTATTCCTTTGCATCACGATGAAAGTGCTAAAAACAGGTGACTTCCACCAAAATGTTTAAGATGGATTAAATCATCGTCCTGTTTCCTTGTTATTGTTGTAGTTCTCATAAATGAGCTTTTGTTTAGAGATGTACCTTCAAGCGCTGCTTTCCCAATCATTCGGCCTGCCCTTGGAAGACAACATTCCATGTCAGACAGAGCAAAGACTGCAATGCAAGGATATCTGAATCACTTTCTAGGAAACATGGATATTGTCAATTCTAGGGAGGTATGCTTGCTCTATTTATTTTCCTAAGAGGGTGATATTGTTAGTACTATTACAAGTTATTAAATTATATATTCATGTCATTATGGTTCTTGCTGTCACTTCTAATGAATTTGGTTTATGATCAGATTACGTCTTATTTCCTCAAACCAAGATACACGATTTTAGCAGTATTGTGCAAGTGATGTAGAATCCACACGCCTTTGGTTTCGTGGCTTTCTGTCTCTTTGATAAAACTATGAGTTATATAAAGGGGACACCTTATTTTTTTTAAAAAAGTAAAGGAATACCATATTGTTTTTTGAAATAAAAAATATAATATACCATAAAAAGCATCTAGAGGATGCAACTTTGTACAAAAACAGTTACATATCAGTCATAAAATATCAATGAGGTCACCTAAGTTCTCACAAGAGTAAAGAGGTTGATCCTTAATAAGAAAAGCTAGAGTCTGGAACCAAACATCCTAAATACTATCGAAGACAATTCTATGTCCTTGAAAGCTCCCTCTCTTCCACAAATATCCTATTGTTTTATTGTGCCAGTGTGCCTTGAAGGTAGCTTGCTCCTTCAAGGATTCCACAAATATCCTATTTATATCAGTGCCTTAAATTTAGAATTAGACGGTTAATTCCCGTTTTACTTTAATTCTCTTCTTGTGACTGGCGCTGCGGTCTAGGGATTTTGTCTCACATGGTCGCATCGCATCATGACCTAGGAATTCTGTGGTTGCAGTCTCAACTTTCTGCCATCTTGGTGTCATTGCGCCAGCTTTTGGGCGCTGCAACACTGATAAATTTGCTTCTCTAGTGGTGCTGCTTTGGCTTCCCGTGCTGTCTATCCCAAACTTCGCTTTTAGCACTCTCCAACACAAACTTTTCTCCCTCACAAATCTGCATAACCATTTTTTTTTTCAAATGCTTTGGTGAATTCATGTGGAAACTTGATGCCTAAACCGCCCATGTGAATTGGGTCCTTGACTGCCTTCCACCCTACTGAGTAAAAGCTCTTTTTATCCTTGAAATCTCCCCAGAAAAACCATGAGGTGGTGTTACAATACAGAAAATAATAAGGTGTGGGACCCGTGAAAGCAGCAAAAAAAAGGAGTTTGAGTCTCGTAGGAAGTTGGTTTCTTTAAGGAACTAATAAGATGTAGAATTATTTAAAGATTAATTTTAATTATTAAGATTTAGGTTTAGATTAGAAATTGGAATGAAACTAGGATTAAGATTCCTAGATCTATAATTAGATTTATATTAGGACTTGAAATAAAACTAGAACTATGGTTTCTAAAATTATAATAGAGATCTAATTCAATTAGCTCTCTTTTTAATACGTCTATTATCGTAAATAAGATCATGACTGCTAATCAAAAGAGTTTCTCTCTAGAAGATTAGAGGCTCTCTTAGACGAGCCTCATCATAGGCCGACAAGGCTGGAAAATTGGGAAGCAAATAGCTTGCTTACTTCAGGATTTTATTTTGGTGGATGCTGTGACCAAATCCAAAGTTCGGGACCCTATCCAATTGGTAATAGAGTTGGTGGTCATGGAGGACTTTTAAAGTTAGACGTTCATGAAACAATTCCAGGAGGATCATGCCTCCTCAGAAGAGAGGTAGCCTGAGCTTGCTGCCCGAGTTAAAAGCTTATCCTAGAACTGTTGGCTACAAGGATGGAGGTTGTCGACCCCACTAGCTCAACAAAAAAGAAAAGACAAAGAAACTAATTGACTCCAGAATCATACAAAATGGAGAAGTATGGGGCCGCTATTTGCAAGGTTAGTTACAATGCCTCAACTGATTTGCTGGGATGGATTAACAGGTGTGAGCATTTCTTCTGACACCAAGGACAGGTGGACTTAACCTCTTTCCACCTTGAAGATGATGCCAATTATGGTTCCTAAAGTTGGAAAAAGACCAATCAGAGCTTTCTTGGCAGATTTAAATCCCATTGTAAATCTAGATTTAGCCTCAATA